AGAACTTGGACAAACAGTGGTTACTCTGCCAGCTAGTAAATGCTCTTAGAGCAGCTGCCACTCTTTGAAGCAGAGGACAGGTTTCCCCAGCTGTTCTTTGGTGAATCCCCATTGAAGCCTATGGCTGATGGAATGTTGACCAGAGAAACTGCTGGATTCCCTTCTGGAGACTTCTCTGGTTTTGTGAGCCAAAAGAAACCAAGAATGCCTGAGGGGAGAGGCACCAAACCTGAAGGTTCCTTGGTGGAAACTGGCCCCTGGCCACTGAAAGATCTCTGCTTACCTATTGTACTTTCTCTCTCTCTCTCTCTGCTAGTAAAATAGGACTTCTACCTGAGCTTTTCAATAGAACAAGTTAATGGGTCACTACTTCAGAAATAAGGCTGAGACAGTTTACAATATTGGCTATCAGGGGAAGTTTACATCTGTGCCTTACATGTTAACTATAGAGTAAGATTTTTTGCCAGCTGTATTGTCTTTACCAACATGTAAAATGTGATTGCCAGATGATAAATATGTTTCACCTGTGAGCTCCAAGATTAAATCTTGTTTAGTTGCTAGAAATGTTTACCTAGGTGATCAGATGGAAACCAAGTGTCTGGATATTGGCTCAGTGCACGGGGCCAAATCTCGCCAGTCAATGGTTCTATCTATCTCTAAAGTGATCTTTGTAGCCTGAGAAGTGCTCACTTCTGACCTTTTATGCCGCAGTGAATGCTTCCTTCTGTGGACATTCAGGTCACCAGACCAATTGTAACTTGCAAGTAGTAAGAGTGAGTAAAGGGTTTGTGAGATATTCAGAAGATAGGAATCACGCGCCAGTTCAAGGTGGATAGGCTGGTGGGATCTTGTCTCCCTTCTCTCCAACAGGAGCATCCACCTGCTCTGGAGAGGGCTACTCAGGGACGCCTGGGTGGAGGAGTCAATTAGGAAAAAGGTGGGGATGCCCAGAAAGGTAATTTCTATTGAATTCCGGGTTATCTCACAGTCAAAGTCTCTTACTCCTTTAGAGTGTGCTTCATTAGGCACCAGAAGACGTTTGATCCTTACATGTTAAAAAGAGCCATTTAAATAAAATGAAGAGGAAAGTATCAACTGTGATGCTAGTTTATAACTCGAAAGATGATGTAAAAAGGAAAATGGTAAAAATATTTGTCTTATGTTTAGATTTGGTTTACATTAAGAAGGTCATTGTTATTTAAGTTTTAAAATATAGATGTGAGCAACAGGAGAACCAGGCAGTTCAGCCCTGCCCACCATTGGTGAAAGTAAGGTTTTCCCTATTTGCCTTTCTAGTCTAGAGGGTGTGGACTTCTAAAACAGCTATAATCCAGGCCTCTACAAGGCTACACCCATTCTTAGCTGGGTTTATGCAAGCTCCTCAAGGACAATACCTTTTAAAGAAGTAAATAGGAAATTTGGAACTTCCAGAGTTCATGTGCCTTAGTTGACCCTGATAAGTACATTGATGTCTTTTAGAGGATTTATTCAGACTTATGAACTAGATTGGAGAGATATAATGTTAATCTTAAACCAAGCTTTGACTTCTATGAAAAGCAGGTAGCCTTATAAGCTGCTATTACATTGGGAGAGGAATATTATATTGTTATAAGGACTCAAAAGATGGACAACCAGTGGAATTTCCTGTTCCCACTGGAGCCCAAACTGTCAGAGCCCTGCTGCTACTAGCCAGGCAGAAAAATGAAAAAGATATTTTCTTTCAAGTGTGTATTCTTCAAGGTCTAAGAACTAGAATCAAGCCTTCAGTTATTAAATGTTAGCTATTTATCAGAAAAAAAGAGGAACACCCCTCTGATTTCTTTAAATGTTTGATAGAGGGATTGGTAAAGCATTAGGATTTTTTTTGTTTTTTGAGACAAGGTCTCACTATATAGCTCAGGATGACTCTGCACTCTTAGCAATCCTCCTGCCTCAGCCTCATGAGTGCTCAGATTATAGGCACATGCCACCACACCTGGCTGAAAAAACAAAAACTTAAGAGACATTTCTGATATTTCTCAAGTCCCATTTATGCGCAGTAATGTCACATCAGTCACAAACTCAAGTATGTAGGAGAGCTAGACAGATGCATGAGGGGAAGAGCCAGGGTGAGTGACAGGGAGTGGTGGGGGCTGCTGCGAACTGGAAGGCTGTGGCAGCAGGACCCGGATCAGCTCAAGGTGCTCAGGCCTCCCAAGACTGCCCCACAGCAGCTGCCCTAACAATTGATCAGTAAAAGTCCAAAACCCAGAATCTCATATGGATTCTACAACTCCTCATTCTACAGTTCCTATCTCATTTGGTTATAACCCCAGAAAATAATTGGGCAGAAGCAACTTGCCACAAGTCACACAGCAGCTACCCAAGGCCAGCAGTGGCTGAGAGGGACCAAGAGGGTCACAGGGCTGCTGAAGGTAGCATTTGAGTGGAAATCGAGGCCAGAGCAGGAAGAGGAGATCTCCCAGCACTCCTTAAAGAAATAGCCTCCTGGCAAGAAGGCTGGGCTGGTCAGAGACCAAAGTAGGGGTCATGGCTGAGGTGTAGCTCAGCGCTGAAGCACTTACCTAGCACCCCGGAGTTCCATTTCCAATCAGGGGGAGCAGGAGGAGGGCAAGAAGTTGGAGATCACAAGATCCTGATCACTGGCCTCCCTACTTCCCAGCCACTGCCCACCCTGTCCTCTCTTCTCTGCTGGTTCACACTAGGCCACCTGCAGCCTAATCCCACCTGTCACTCACCTGGCTGTACAAAGCAGAAGCAGAATTCAAATCAAAGCCAGCTCCTTCCTCTACACCCCTCTTTTCCCATCCCCAACCTCTGAACCCCAATTCCTTCACCTATGAAACAAGGTTAGTGATGTCTCTTTCAGAGTGGTTGTGAGCTATAGGCCATGAGAGATGAGAAAGTTAAAGATGAGAGAAAACTTTAAATCTATGAAATGTGCAAAAATTTTTAAGGTAACACTGGGTGCAAGAGCCTGCAAGGAACACTTCCCTGTCCTCCAATGAGATACTCATACGGAGTGCTCAGGTGGACATGAACGCAGAGTTTGGTAAATCTCATTAAGTGCCCGCACTCTTAAATCTGTTGATTCTCATCTTCCTCTGGGACATAGGGAAGCCTGGGCCTTCTGGTGACCTGCTCATGTCATGGGCACAGAATGAGAGACACCTTTCCCTTCCCTCCTCCTCCTGGAAGCCTGGTCCTGGGTCCACCCAGCCTTCTCCGACTACCAAGATAGCACATAGCTGGGTGCTCCTATACCGTCCAAGTGCTCCTGATCCACTCCACAGGGCCCTAGCTACCCACCAAACCAACACCTACCTTTCTCCAGACCTTGTTACCTCTGAGGACCCATCTCCAATCCTCAGGCCTCCAGCCATCTTCCAGAGAGGAGGGGATGGTCTACCAGAAGGTCCCAAAGAGCAGCTATGGGGAGAGGCTCAACAGGGAAGCACCTCAAGGTGCTGTCCAGACCACCCACATTAAATGGACAGAGGCCCCAACCCAGAGTCCAGCTAAGGTGCTCAGGCCACAACTGCCCCAGGCTACAACCACCCAGCAAACATCGCCCAGAGAGGAACTTCAAACACTCCCTGAGACCCTGCCATGCTGCACTGCTGACAGTGCAGCATGCGGGCCGCTAAGGCAAGCCTGGTCCAGATGAGCTCTTCTAGGCCAACTGCTGCCCCTACTCACCACCCAGTGAGTTTCCATGGGTCAAGCCTATAAGCCAGATACAAGCCAATCAGCACATGGTATCCCTGGCCAAGGGGACTACTTCACAGCTGGTATATGACCTCAGTGGGTCCAATCTGAGTATAGTGCAGAATTTCCCTTGTAAATGTTGGCTTGGAAATCTAGTAACAGCATCTTCAACAAATATTCCATCACTAGATTTTTAATCTATATCCTCTGGAGCAGCTGGCACACATTTTGGGCTTGTAAGAAGTCTCCCAGATTGGAATATCTGGAAAAAAACAGAATAAAAAGCTGAGAGTGTTTAAATCCAGATCAGCCTTTACCTAAAGTTATCACTACACTATGTACCTACAAAAAAAAATTTTTTTTAATCTGTATTTTTCTTCAGTGAGTTTAACTTGGCTTTTCAATGACAACCAAGAGATTTCTAAATAATACATGGCAGCGCTGTCCAGATTACACACTCAAGATGAGCCTTTGGCTCTGGTACTGCCCATGTCAGAAACCAAGGACTGGCAGGGCATGTATGACATCACCCACCTGTAATTCCGACACTCGGGAGACTGAGGCCTGAGGATCACTGGGGGATCAACACCAGCTGAGCTACACAGTGACTTTAAGACCAGGCTACATAGCAAGACAATGACTCAAAAACATTATTTTTTTAAAAATCCAGGACCAGGATAGCTCCTTGTCCCTGAAAGCCCCACCAGACTCTCCTCTCTGAGGTCCCAGACCATGCTGGCTAGCAGTCCATCTGCCCCTGGATACCCACACTGCAACCCCAGGTACATAGATGCCACACAGCACTGGGTAGACTTTTATTTCAAAGTCAAAGGCACAGCCTGGATGGGCTGGGGCAGTGAGTGGTGGGTGTCCTGCCCAGGCCCCCAAGGCCCCACCCCTGGCCAGGAGCAGCTGTGCCAAAGAAGTGGGTGGGAGACAAAGGGGCCTCCCCTTTTAAGGGCCTCCCTTCTTAGCCCCCACAGGGGAGAAGCAGGGGACATAGTGAGCCAGAAACGCTCCAGGAGCCCCCAGGGTGTCTTGCTTAACCCCACACAGGTCTTTGGTGGACATAATTGCACAAACAGTCCATAAAGTGACGGCTTGCGGGGCGTCCCCTTCCAAGGAGCAAGGCCTCAGAGAACGCGGGAGTAGTCCCAGTTTCTTTCCGTGGCAAGTCGGCAGGGCTAGGAGGCGGGAGGAGCCCTTCTGATGGTGCTGCCCCCTAAGAGGGGTCTCCCGCCCCATGGGCCCCCCACATGCACTCTCCAGCAGGTCCCTCCTTCCCTGCAGCCCTAACTACCTGGTAAGACATTAAAAAACAAACAAAAAATGCTCTGCTTATAAAAATACTTCTGCTTTGTCGGGGAGTGGGTGGGGAGGCAGGAAGGCAACTCCTTGACCCGGGCAGGCCCCAGTGGCAGGGGCTAGGAGGGGGGCAGGGGGCCATTGGCTCGGCGGGTGGCCCCCTTGGCAGCAGCGGGCACAGGGGAGCCTCGACGGGCAGCGGCGGCGCTGCGCAGCTTCTGCTTGCGGCGCTTGGCCAGCGGCGCGTTCTCCACGCTCTTCAGGAAGAAGCCTTCTCTCTTGCCTCGGTTGAAAGCCTGGTGGAAGTGAAGGGTGAGCGTCCCACCCCAGCTCCAAAGAGCCCACACCTTTGCAGGCCCCACTCTGCCGGCCCGGGAGCTGCCCCGCGCGCTCCGTACCAGGAAGGTGGCGTTGAGCCCTGAGCGCACTGCGGGCCCAGAGGACTCCAGCACGTCCGGCGTGCGCAGCGGGGGTGAGGAGCGCGCGCTGCCGTCCTGAAGCCACGAGCTGCCCCGCAGCCCCTCCAGCTTCAGCCGCTTGGCGGGATCCACAGTGAGAAGTCCTGAAGGCAGGTGATGAAGTACTGGGGAGGCCTTGGGTGCAGAGGGATCCCTACAGCCCACTCTCCTCCCCCACGCCAATTAGGATGCAGGATCCGGGGACACCACTACCCCACCACCACCACCCCATCACAGCAGGGATACCACAGGGCCTCCCCTCCAAGCCCGACCTCGAACTAGCTCCTTAGCCTCCTCTGACACGCCCTGCCAGGCTTCCCCTGCGAGGGAGAATCGGCCCTCTCGGATCTTGCACATAATCTCCGCTGCCTGGCTCTGTCCGCCCTGGCCTGAAGCCCCTTGGAAGGGGACCTGTCCCGACAGCATCATGTACTAGGAAGATGGAGGAAGGGGATGAGTTGTACCTTGGCCCACCTGCAGAGCCATTCACCCTCCCCACGGTGTAGATCCTGATAACCCAGGCAGGAACCTAGATTTCTACCCCCTGTGCCAATGCCTCCCTCAGCCCGTGGCCATCCTGCCTCCGTATTAGGAAGACCTCGATCTCAGCCTCAGAGGGAACCCAACCACCCCCACCGAGGCCACCTGGTCCGCTACCCCAGACTGCTGCGCATGGGGAGCCCTTCCACGTTCCCCGGGATTGGGTCATACCAGAATGACACCCAGGCTCCAGAGATCACAGGACTCATCGTAGCCACCCTGTGCCAGCAGCTCGGGGGCTGCATACTGCAGTGTGAAGCAGGGTGTCTGCATGGGCCCAGCAGGGCTCTGTGGCCGAAGCCGCGCAAAGCCAAAGTCAATGATCTTGACCGGCGCCCCAGGTGTGTCATCGGCATATAGGATGTTCTGCAAGGGTGGTCAGCGCTGGTGGTCAAAGGTGTTCCCCATACCAAGCCTATCCGCCAAACCCTAGACCAGTGCCCACCTCAGGCTTGAGGTCTCGGTGCACCACACCAGCTTCCTCGTGCATGAAGCTGACAGCTGACACAAGGCTGCGCAGGATCTGGCTGGCCTCAGACTCGCTAAAGTGCCGCTTTTTGCGAATGTGTTCCAGCAGTTCCCCACCCCGCAGCAGCTCCAGGACCAGGTAGGTGTGCAGCTATGGGTGGCATACATAGGACTGTGGTCACCACCCTAGGATGCCTTGTTCCTCCTCAGACCTGCCTTCTAGTGCTCAGGCCCTCCGCCCCACAAATCCCCCCTCTGGTGCCTCCCTGGTCCCCACAGGTGCCCACATCCAACCCTGGTCCTCTTTCCCCAACACAGGCCTTCTCCTAGGTTCCTGCTGTCCACACCAGCTAGGAAGCCAGCACCTGGTCATGATGCACTTCATGCAGGGTCACCACATTGGGGTGAGTCTGGCACAGCCGCAGTGCAGCCACTTCACGCTGTGTGTTTGCCTCCAGCCTGGTGACAAAGGGGCAGGTGGGTCAGAGAAGCCATCCTGCTCATGCACCCAGGCCACCAGTGTCAGGCACTCACCTGCGGCTAAGGATCTTGACTGCAAACTCCTGGCCACTTTGGCGCTGGCGGCAGCGGCGACACACAGAAAAACTACCCTGGCCCAGTGCAGGCTCCCGAAGGTCCAGCTCATACTGCTGAAAGAAGGGTGAGTCCTGGAGGCAAAGGGGGTGCATCAGAGGGCCCACCTGGGAACCACACAGAGACCCTCCCCCAGTCCAGTGCAGCCCACCTGCATCATGGCACTCCTGGCCACCGCTGCCCGGCCTGGCCGGTCTCCAGCACCAGGCGCTTCCAGCACATCAGTCATCACCGCATTGTTGTGGTCAAAAAGAATGGAGGGTGCCACAAAGGAGTATCCCTATGGGGCAGGGCGGGCATGCAGGTGATAAGCCCCAAGAGGCCCAGACCTGGTGGGGGGAGACTGAGGGAAGATCTGGGGTGAAGGTATCCTGGCATACAATGGAGGTGTAGGCTGGGCATGGTGGCACACGCCTGTCATCCCAGGACTGGGGAGGCTGAGGCAGGAGGATCACTTGTAGTTCAAGGCCAGCCTGGGCTACAAAGTGAGTTCACAGCCAATCTGAACTGCACAGTGAAACCCTATCTCAAAAAAAAACAAAAAACAAAAACCTAATGAAGTATGGACACATTTTATTCTACTTTGTCTTATTATCACTGGGGGCTATACCTGTCCCCCACCAGCCTGTGACCCCCACCTCTCTCATCAGCTATCTCCACCAAAATGTGCCTGGCACAAGTGATAGACCCAGAAAATGATAGGCCAATGCAGGAAACTGTGGTCTGACATCATACACACTCAGTGTCTAAGAATTCAACCCTATCTGCTGGAGAAGAAAAAAAAAAAAAACTGTATTTCCCTTCAAACCAGATTTTGGCTTCCTCTCTACAAGGCGAGGCTACTGAGGAAACAAAAAGAAATGAAGTCAGTTATTTGCCTTTCCTAAGGATCCACAACTTCAGAAATTTTCAAGGGTGGGCCTGCGAGATAGCTCAGCAGTGTAAAGCACCTGCTTAGGTAAGCTTAGGCACAGGGACCGTGGTTCGATCCCCAGCATGTGCTGTGCCATCCCCGCCATGAGGGCAGGCTGAGCCAGCCAAACACAGAAAGAAAACGAAGAAATTTTCAAGGGAATTTTTTTTTTTTTTTTTTTCAGAACGAGGGATTGAACTCAGGCCCTTGCACTTGCCAGGGAAGCACTTATTCTACTGAACCATCTCCCCAGCCCCTCAAGGGAAATTTTAATCATGTGTTGTTTTATCCTAAAAATGTACCCCTCTGTGCACTGGACCACAAGCACCACACAGGCAGGCAGATCCCTGGCTTAATGCACTTAAGGTTTTAGTTGGTTTCGTTCATTTGCTTGTTTAGCAGTGGTGAGGATCAAACCTTGAGCGTCCCAAATGCTAGGCAAGCGCTCCATCAGTGAGCTTTACCCCCAGCCCTTTTTATTATTACTTGAAACAGGGTCTTGCTAAATTGACTGGCCTGGCCTTAAACTTTTGACCTTCCTGCCTCAGATAACCAAGTAGCTGGGATTACAGGGCCTGTGCACCACTGGACAAGCCCTTAAACACGTTTTTTTGTTTGGTTGTTTTTTTTTTTTTTTTGTCGGAACCGGGGATTGAACTCAGGCCCTTGGGAGCTATTTCCCTGGCCCCCA